GAAAACACAAACGATGGATATCGTCGACCTCGGCTGCCCTGCTGGAAGCTTGGAGGATGCACAACTAATTTTACAGAAAATGCGTTTATTAATAACTGTATTTTGATAAATCATAGTTAAATAAACAAGAAATCAGTTTGTGAAATGAGACCTGCAATTTAAACGGCACATAGAGTCGTATTTGAAGAGTGCATTCTACAAGCCTACCTCAAAAAGCAAACCGAACAAAGGTATCTGAAAAGAGTAGTACATTATCTATTCGTGCGATGTTCCGGATAAAATTAACACCGCCCAGACGGGATAAGGTTTTCGTTAATTTTTCAGACCTGGAGTAGCAAAGAAGTTTAATCATTTTTATTCAGCTCACACTAAAATATTCATTCGATTTTATTCAGATAGCCTCTGCATAAGAATGATACATTTTCAGTTATTTCAACCACTTGACTGTACCGCCTACAAACTAGTCTCTAATAGTCACATATAGGTAAACAAACCCAGTTTATGGTGAAATCTGAACAATCATTAAACAGGCCTTTTCGTCATACGGGTTTGGACACTGTCTGCCCATACAACCATTCTACTAAATTTGCGTTAGAACTAAGTGTTTTTAAACAAGTCCGATGTGGCCTTTTCAGATCCAGTCGCAGAGCAACAAATGAACCGTCTACGGATCAATCAGAAAAAGAGTGTTGTAGCCATGTGTGAAAAATTCCCATTACCGCATTTAGAACAAACAATTGTTTTTGGTAATTCCTTCTTAAGCCTTTTACAGATTACATAGGTCAGGGTGACTGGACGGCGGACACTCGGGCTTGATCGATCACGGGCTACGGAAGCTGGAGAGACTGGGTGTAGAGGTCAGGAGTCAGCTTTCTTATCCCGATCGCTTCCGCTATTGCTAGAGTGCGCAGGTGAACACCCTTGCACTTGGTGTGGGGGACACGATAAACAACTCCGAATGCGACGTCCGGATGGACTTGATGTCCGGTGTCGACCAACTGAGCTAGGATAGAGCTTTTCATTGATATGATCTGTCCTGGTCTTAACCAGCTCGGGTGATGCTCTTTGATCCGGGTAAATACCCGTTGTGCCGTTCGACCAACACAAGATGTGCCACGCACGCATCTGAAAGAGTATACAACCATTGATAAGGTCAGCGTCGACAGTTTGTCCTTATTTTGAATGTGGATAATAGGAGCTGCTCGAAACACGCACCGTATCTTGCAAATCATCCCGAAACGCAGTGTATTAAATCCACAAGGTATATCCTCACAAGTGTGACGGAAACCGAGCAACGGATTAAGGAGTGAATGAATTACCCACAATTTACTATCTACGGGCCGAACACTGGAATCAGTCGGTCAAAACAGCAATGATACAACTTGGTTTAAGCGCACCACAAAAGAGGGACAGTAAATGTCTACTATTTGACGTGGTTCTATAAATCATAGTTAACAATAACTAAACGACATACGAAAAAATGGAAAATATGAAATTAACTTTTCTGTAAAAGCAATCGATTTGACTTAAGTTAGCCTTACTGTTCAACGAATACAAAACACGAGTGAGAGAAGGAATATGTTACACACGGATAAGAGGATGAGAAATATTGATAGTATCGCAAATATCATAGACGGTGACAAAGTTACATCTTCCTTTCAATAAACTTCTTCTCTTCTGACCGAGTTGGGAATGGAGTGTTTAGATGCATTCGTTTGTCTTTTTCATTGTGCAAAACTGCTTCCGACAGCTTAGAGAGAAACTTTGTGCGCGACTTATTACAGTCGATTGGGGTTCACTGCGCCGGGTTGATGATATCCTTGAATTGTGAACACCTGAATGACGTTTCACTCATCTATTAACGTATTGGATAAGATATGAGCTAATAAAAGTGTAAATTTAACACTCCGTGATCCATTTCACAGCTACATGTATTTATATTTTCATGTATCATTATTGATTAGTTCAAAATTATATTGTGTGTCAGAACCAATCACGTGTACAATACTTAATTCAGCCTGCTCTCTCGTCCATATTTACATCTACATGCTCTTCCCGTGGCTGCATAATCCTTGTGTATCACGTGATTTTCGAATTGATCGACGCAAAATCGGGATTTGTTTCACGAGTGAATAGATGGAGAGAATTCAATTGTCAGACAATCTAAAAGATCAGAGACATGCCTGCAAACTACTTACGGACGTGTATATTCCTCAGTCTCTTGACTGACCATATGTATCGAGCAGCAGGGAGAACACATTGCTGTTTGCGTGGGGGAGGTATTTGTAACTGTCCGCGTATTTCTATCACAAAGAAAGTACTTGTTTGTCCAATGCGTATTACCCACCATGATATACTTCGCACAAGATCTAAGACAGTCTATATGCAAGATACTGATTTAAACCCCGGATTGTATAGTGTTGTAGCTTTTGATATTGATCGCCTGCCGTCACCCGCAGATTCAGAACTTTCCTGGATGGTATTTCTGGCTCTGAACGTAGAGCGGGAATGTTTTATTCAAAATAAATCGTGTCAAATCGACCCAGTTATCCATTCCCGATTTGCTCCATGTAAAAAAAGATTTGATCATGAAACTACGGTAAATTTATTTTTGATCAAACAGAATCGCAAACTGTCGGCGAATGATTTCATTGCTTCCGGAGACATATTAAGACGGTATGGAATTAGTCCATTACCGGCTATAGTGGAGTATGAAAGGTTTCGGGATCCACGACTGTACGAAGGTACACCGTTATACGGAATGCAATATAAAGTAATGCGATGCAGTCGAATGGCTACCCTCATGCACATCAGACAACGCGTGGACGAGCGTTTGGGTTATGGGGCAATGGAAGCATATTTGCACACTAAATCTCGGCCTTACAAAGTTTATCCAGCTATACAACGAATTTTCCCTCAGATAAAAGTCACCGAAAGAATGATAAAATACGGACGGGACGAGTGTTCCTATCGGCAAGAATTTCATCTCAGTCATTTTGACAAACATTTGGAGCCTATACTGCACGAAAAGGATTGTCCAGAACTAGAGGTGGAGGCGCTATTGGATTGGTTTAAATCGGACGCAGGCAAGAATGGTTTTCGGCGCCTGTTACTTGATCGCATAAACTACTGGCTAAGGATGTTGGTGCAAGAGTCACGCAATTTTCGATGGATTCACTATCTGTCCATCGAGTATGATCGGTACTCTGACACAGATCTGGCTGACTCAATAGATAAGCAAACCGCAAGTGATATTCCTCAGTATAGGATCTTCAAGAAACTAAAGACAGCAGCCGATTCTGTACCGGCACAAGACGTTTTGGAGGAAAGTTCCACGGAACAAGACGAAGAAGTAGAAGTTGAGGGCGAAAACAGTTCGCCAGGTATATCACCGTATATGCATGCTGTTCATCCAAGCTATGCCAGGGCCTTTACGCGGGTGTTGTATCGTGGTACGCGTATAATGTCTCGCTTACAGTTGTTGATCGAATTATATGTTGAGACGTTTGATGAATTTCCCGAATTCGAGTAAAAGTGAATCGGAGTTGTAAATTTGACCGCTTTTCTCGCAACATAAAACAGTGTCTACGAGGTTGGGTGTTTTAATAAAATCGTCTGACGAGATAAAGCAATACGAAATGTCGATTAAAGTAAAATTTGGAACCAGTTTTAACAATTCGTATTATTTGTTTTTGGATTTCAGAACCTTTTTGGGCACTTGTGTGCTTTGGACCCTATTGTCCGGGGTTCAAGCCCCGCCACCGCCACCCAACTTTGGTGCTAGGCAGCTTTGCTGTCATTCGGTTCAAAACCACGCCTGATCAAGCGGGGCTTTATGTGGTTGGCACTCCTAATTCCGAGGCTTCGGTTGCCGGTTTTCATCTCTGAACAGCAAGTCTTTCAGACTATGGGGTTTACTCCGTCTATCATTCATCACACTAAGGTGTAATAAAAATAAAAAGAGGTTGATAGGGCAGCGGTTGAGTACACCACAAATAACTCAGTTTTCTTCCGGTTAGGTTTATTTCGTGTCATCCTGAAGGCTGCAAGCCAGTATTGACATCTCTTGCGGTGTACAAGCTATCTAGTTACAGGCGATGAGATTCCCTGTTATAAAGAATACGGATGTCTATAAAGCAGATGAATAAAGCAAAAGAGAGAAGTGAACTTATATATGAATCCTACTAATTGCAAAATTTCGTTATCACCGACCAGACAATCTCATCGTAGCTCTATGTATTCAATATTTATGCTCAATCGTAAAAGCACTGCTTTCACTACACTACCATCCCGTTTTGGTAAATACTGCACTCAAAGTTCTCGCAACCGGGGAATTCACTACCAATATGTGTAAAAAAGGAGCCATAAGAAAATGAAACAGGAAAATTTCTTGCTTATAAATGATATCTCTCATGGTTTGCGGATTTATTTACCCCTTAGGTGATTGTTTTCGGTTTCATTCCAATAGTCCAGGCTGCATTCCGTGATCTATTCACCTGATTTAGGCTTTTTAAAGGATATCTTTAATGAGACTCCACGAACCGTCCACAAAAGCTATACAAGAAGGGATGTTCATTCAGAAGTCTATACATTTCTTGATCTAGCCACTGTAATGATGGGCCGTCATATAGTCGGGTCAATGTTTTATGGCACTTTATCATTATATATATATATATGTGTGTGTGTAAAAGAGATGTTTTGCAACAGTTGACCTCGGGTTTCTTGTGATCACCTGGGCATCGGTTACGGATGCGCCATCGACTTAGCCTTCTACATTGTCATGTGTTGGGTTACGTGTTGTGGTAGGTGACGGTTCGATTTGCTTGTGAATACGCTACCGTTACTGCAGATGAAATGGTTTGCCAACCATGTTAACGCTTATCCAGATCCAACTGGCGAGGAGAGACAATGTATACGTATTGAGCTATTGCTAATATGCGACCTAGCAATGACCTCCACTCTTGAATAGCTTTTGCCTTTTTCCAGTGATCTTCCAAAAATGTCTATCAACCTTTCTGGGTAACAAGTGCTTTACCGTGTTCACTTTAGGATTTCACTTAGTTTAACAAGCGCTTTCTGAGGCATATTCATTCTCATATATTCATTTTCCGTCACTTGGTATGCTAGTTACTATTCACCCCTCACAGTGACTAGTTTTATAAAGATTTATGTGTAACCAGTTCGTTGTTTCCCTGGCCTGCGCCACACTCAATTTTTTTCAAGCACTTTATCCCCCAAACACAGTAGCTTTGAAAACTCTACCCGATTCACAAAACTGAAATCAGTCTAAAAAGCCGGCGCGTGATTGATTGCACCCGTGTCTATTTGATTGGAGCAGTTTGGCGCCTCATGCACTCGTAGGGCTGTTTAGTACGCAATATTCAAAACAGATAAGTATGAACCTAGTTTCTCGTTTTCGTTCATGGCTGTGGTTATAAATGATCACGAATTTATCTCCCCCTTGCGAAACCATAGACAGTATAGAAATTGCAGCCTAACCGAAATTCACACACAGAGCTCTTTGATAACATCATTTGGCATCACGAGTCAGGAAGTGCAAAATATCATATAGGAAAAAAAGGGGGAATGGATTTAACTCAAAGAGAGGCCTCTTGGTAACCAAACAAAAATTCGATGACAGTAAGGCTAGCATTTAAAACAACATCAACAGTACAGTTGTTCCATATAGTATCGGCTATCTTCACCACATAACTTAACTTCAAACATTGTCACATCAGAGGTTGCCTGACGCTCATCGAGATATGGAAGTTCTGGGCGCATTTGTTCCAGATACGATCTGCTACCGCAAGGCTTCCATTTGTTACTCGGTAATCATGTTGATCGGTCAGACATCACGAATGATGAGTAATAGCATTCACAA